TCCATTGTACTTCCTTTTTGGGGTTACCTTATAGGATCCTGGATATGACTATGATATTTGGTTAAACCAAAAAAAAGGAACTGCAATGGAGACTGTAGGATGCCAGGAAGGTTTCAGCAGATGCCCCGTCGCAACTGGGGCATGGGCTCAGGACGAGCCAGGACCAGGCAATATAGGGGCCTTAATAATTAGAATAGGGTTTTGGCGCCCATTATCCTATCATTATAATAAGGAGCTCCCAAAATAGTATAGGTAATTATTTAGGCCCTTATATGACAGCAAGCATCGCAGGTATTTTTTCGGGGCTTGGGGTTCCAGGCTTTACAAGTGAGCATAACTTTTGCAATGTTACAACATCCTAAGACGATCGACCCTCAACATTCTCACTGTCACAGCTGTTGATGTTTTGCCCGGACGGAGGGGCCTGGCATGCATCCAAGTAGCAGGGCCGTGTCATCGGATCGTCCGTCGGCCGTCTTCCTGAATCGTAGCTCGAAGGCTTCAAACGACCCGATAGCTCGGGGTGGTCTTTGAGGGCTCTATAGACTATAGACGGACCCTGTCGTGTTTTTAGGGTTCTGCATGGGGGTATTGGGGCTTAGGGTACGGTTTAGAGTTTAAGGTGTTAGGTTACTAGGGCACGAGGGAAGTAGGGTTTGGGATTTGGGGCAGGGTCAGTCTCAGTGGATTCCAGGTTGACTTGAATGTTCATGGGGTGTGAGAAGCAGAGCTACAAGTTCCTCAAGGTGGGTCACACGAGATCTTGAGTCTTGAGTGTAGATGCCTGGTTTATGTATAACTGCCCTCATCAACCTCCTCCTAAGCCCAGCACCCCCCCACCCCTGCTGAAGTGAGAGTTCCAGGAGTCCGTCGCCGGGTTCCCAAGCTACGACCTACACGTCCCTGAAACACTGAAGCCCGACTTTCTCATCTGATCACCTAGAATACAAGAGTAGTTCTGAGTTTTTCAACTTCTGGCAACCTTGTCGCAAGTTCATGCTGTAGAAGTTACGCCTAGGATGTGTATGCCCGGGAGTAAACCCCCTAAACCCAATGATGCAAAGGAGCCATGAACACAACAAGGGTTCACAAGACCATGCGTTCACCTGCCTAGAAATCGAGCTGCTGCCTTTTCCCCCCTCTTCCAGCGACCAGCTGCTAAGCTATCATCATGGGTTTAGGGTTTAGGGTTTAGGGGCCGAAACCCCAATCTGAAAGCCTTTGGATCCCAGGAAATGGTGTTTCGGGCCACAAACTCGATCGGCTGACCTCCCAAACCATAAATCCTAATCAAAACCTAACTACAGCCTCAACCTCTTAATTTCGAGCGACGTGAAAACAGATCTTAATCCCAAACCCCAAACCCTTAACTGCCCTATTCCCCAAACCCCGAGCGCCCCCTAAACCCTAAACCCTAAACCCCTAAACCCCTAAACCCTACTCCCCGAACCCCGAACGAACCCCCCCCCCCCCTTCTTATTTGAGACCCTGCAGGTGGCAGCCGAGGCGCCCAGGAACGCTGATGCTGCTCTTGGAGGACTCCCGGAGCCTTCAGATTCTCACTCTTTGGGGTTTAGGGTTTAGGGATTAAGGTTTCGGGCTTCAGGGTTTAGGGTTTTAGGGGGATTGAGGTTTACGGTTGAGGGGTTTAGGGATTAAGGTTTAGGGTTTCGGGGTGTTTGATTTGGGAATCTAGGCGTACTGCAGGGGCCTAAATTATTGAGAGCAGGGTGTTGGGTTCCTCTACAGATTAAACATAATTAGTAAGGAACCCTAACGACTCATATTGGCTAGGTCAAGCAACCGTATAGTTTTATATACAAGGCTTACTATGAGTAAGAGTTCGATACAAACACCATTCCCGTACTAAAAGGGCTCTATAAGATGTACTAGGGTTCTTAATGTCTGTACAGGGTTCAGGGTTTTAGCGTTTAGGGTTTTAGGGGGTTTAGGGTGTAGGTTTTCAGGATTTGGGCTCTTTGCATGTTGTGAATCGGGGCGTTAGGGCCTTTGGGTTTCAGTGTTAGAGTTCAGGACTTGAGGATTGTCGGGCTATAGGGTTTTCGGGCTATGTCGCTTTTTGTTTTGTGTAGCGTAGTGTAGCTTGAAACTGAAATCAGCTTCCGAAACCTACGTGGCAATGCTCTCAAACCACGTGCCAGTCACGTGGATTAGCCATAATGGAGAACCCCTGATCAATAAACCCCTGCTACCCAAGATGCTATTGCTCAGGGAGCTGATCTGGAGCTGATGTAGTGGCCCTTACAGGGACAAGAATAGTGTATTCATCAAGAGTCTACATTACAAGACGACAGCCCCTGTAACCCACCACAACCAGCCTCTCCGTCAAGTTAAGTAGGGCCCAAGGGTTCCCGCTCACCCTGCAAACCTGGACCCCAAACCCTAAATCCCTGAACCCTAAACCCTAAACCCTAAACCCTAAACCCCTCACCCCCCAATCCCTAAACTCAGGGGCCAAGAACTGCTTCAGCCCAGCAGCCTCGACCCTAAACCCGAAAAGCCAATACAGTACTAGTAAACCCAAAATGGCAAGGAAAGCTCAACATCGACCCCAACAGGGCCCATCCCATAGAATCATTAGGCGCCCCTATGTGCCGGTCTTCCCAATGATGCCTGTAACCTACTTGTGAAAACCTAAACCCCCAAAACTTAGATCCTAAACCCTGGACCCTGAACCCCACACCTCCAAGCACCCCTAAACCCTAAGCCCCTGGACCCCTAAACCCCTGAACCCTATTCCCTAAAACCCTAAAGCCCTGGAAGCTCGCATGGGTCTCCCGGCAAGTTGGCTGCGCGGTCCCAGCGAAAGCTCGCAAAGGTGGCCGCGCCGGTGCTGGGGAGGGAGCTGAAGAGCAACTCCATCAGACCTGGCTAGGTTTAGGGTTTAGGGTAATTTTTGTTATGGGGGTTAACGCAATGATTTCAGAGAGTTTACCTGGTATTGCTATCCCTCGAAGTTTCCTATTACAATAGCTGACTGGCTTAGGTTCTAGGACTGATTGAAGGTTTTGGGTTTAGAGTCTTGGGCCGTAGTGGCTGCTGAAGTCACAGAAGTCTTTTAGTAAGGGGGATTAGAAACAGGAGTTTAAGGTTCAGCTGGTAATGCAATTTCTAAGGCCTTCTTGTAATTGGAATACAACTCTACCCCACAATCCCCTTCCATTTAAAAAGACTTCTACAGTAGGGTTTGGGGTCCTGCTTACTGAATGCGAACCGGCCCGTGCCAGAGTAGTGGTCAACTCTTCACCTGTTATAGCCCGAAACCGGAATGTTCTGCGTGAAGCCTGCCGCCTGTCCCTGGGGCGACGCCGCCACTGCATCCCAATCTGTGGCAAATGCATGAAACTTCTCGCAAGACGAATTTCGGTCAGCAAGCTGCCATGCGAAAGATCCTGCCGGAGATGCGGTAGTTGAGAGGCACCCAAAGCGTAGTGTTCAGCATCGTCAACGTACCCCACCATGGGCACGAGCCGGAACGTTTACAAATTGGTCTGCAACAGGTTTATCGGGTTTGGGGTTAGACATGGCTTCATTGAGAAGGCTTTGACCAGGGATTCCGCCTGCACAGATGTAGACAAGCGAACATAACCTGAAGATAGAATACATACATACGCGAATAACTAAATCTGTGCTTAACTGTACTTTCAAGCAGGTGCATCTGTAAAAGTATATGTACAGCTTATGATCCATCCATGCATGAATGCATGCATGCATGCATGCATGCATGCATGCATATACATATATAGAATATAATATACATATGTGTATATATATATATATGTATGTGTGTGTGTGTTTGTGTGTGCATATATATATATATATAGACATACATACACATAAACATACACATACACATGCACCAACACCGCCACCGCCACCGCCACCCCCACCCCCACCACCCCCACCCCCACCCCCACCACCACCACCACCACCCCCACCACCACCACCACCGCCACCACCACCACCACCACCACCACCACCACCACCACCACCACCACCAACTCGTTCTCTGAGTTATCTAAATAAGGTTTCCACTCTCTGGTGGTTTGTCATTCTTTACAAAGGCTTACACGGCTCACGGACTCGTGCTCGGGGCTCTCGACAGTGGGGGGGCCCTTGGAGCTTGCATCGTGCCTCGGATGGCCCGTCAAAAGTCGGCTACCTAGACGCTCCATCTACCCTCCGGGTAGAAGAGCGAACTGATGCCCGAGCGACCATGGAACCTTGCACGGTTTAGGGTTCAGGGCTCAGGGTCCGCAACCCTGCAGACGATCTAAGGCAAACCAAAAGGAAACCTCGACCTCAAAGCCCTGAACTCTAAACCCAAAGCCCGCAAACCCCGATACAATCGCTAAATGCTAGACCCTGTTTACCCGCAAGGTGTAGGAACCCCTATACAAAACCCGTCTAAGTCTAAGTACCCTGCTACAAACCCCCTCCATGAAACAACAGCCCGGGCGGCTGCTTCTCAGCTCTGAATCGAGGAGAATCCTCCGTGCCACGTAGGGGTACGCCGCCTTCGCGGATGGGCTCAAGTCTTCCTTTAAGGGGTACTCTGGGGTTCTATAGTCGGAGAAGCTTAAGGCTTAAGGGTATTATGCAGGGGTTTGCAGTTCGATAGGGCTTCAGACTTCAGGCTTCCGGCTGTTTCGTTGAATAAGGGTTTCAAGGCTGCGGACAGGGCTTCAGGGATCCCCACGGGGATCTATACGGGTTCCTTTAAGGGTTTAGGGTTTCGGGTTTAGGGGAATCTATAGAGTAATCCGAAACCAGCCTGCTTGCCATGAAACCGATGTTTGAATCAGCCTACGCCAAAACAGAAACCTTTTGCGCAGCGAACCCAGAGGGTCCATATACACTACCATTATGGAATTAGGTCCCAAAAGACCATCCCTAATATGGTTTTGGGGACCTAATTCCACAATGGTAGTATACATGGACCCTCTTGGGAAGCCACATGCAAGGATGTGAAACCTGAACCGGCAACCCCGAACTCCAAACTAGTCGAGCCGTAAAGAGTTTCTATCTCATCCGCTGTTAGTGGTGGAATACCATTCTGTGGGCTCTAGTTTTAAATCCTTTCGCATAGGCTGGGTAAGAACCGAACACAGACATGTTCGGTAGATTTGGGACTTTATGACGTAATGGGTTTTGGGTTCGTTTTTTTGGAAAGGAGGGGGTGTTGATTGCCTGTGCTTCTACCGCCCCAGACGCCAAATCCCCAAAAACTCATTATCCTCAAAGCTCGAAGCCCTCAGCACTAAACCCGAAATCCCCGAACCGTAAAACCAAACCAATGATGCCCTGCCTGGAACCTGACACTGTGTCCTGCATCCCAGAATCCCAGAAGTCTACACTCTCCCTTTCCCTCCCTCCCATCCACCTCAAGGACCCGATAGTCCTCGTCGATGGACAGCGCCAAGCCCTCCAGATTGACCAAAGATCCTTGGAGAGTTTGGAGCTGAAGGGTGTCGGGTTGAGTTTAGGCTATGGGGTTTAGGGTCTGGATGTAGGGTTTAGGGTTTGGGCTGCAGATCTGGGATGTCGAGTTTAGGGTTTCGGTTTGGGGCCTAGGGTTATGGTGCAGAATTTTTAGGGCTTGCGTTGAGAGTCAGGGGTTTGGGTGTAGGGCTTGTCGGGACGAGTCCTCATCCGAGAACGCAACAAGTTCCCTTGTGGTCTTCCCTAGCGGGTAGGCAGGCTATCACACAGGACAGTCCGAGAATCTAGATTGCGTCGCAAACGTTGACGCATGATTTGTAGGTTGTAGGTCTGGGGCTGTCTGCTTTCTTGTTCTTGGCATTGAGAACCCCCGAACCATGCAACAAACAGCGCGGGCAAAGGTGCATCTCTACCGGAAGCCCGCCGACCCTGTCATACTACGGAATCCGGTTCTCTTGCCCTAACCCTCCAGGTACTTACTACAGAGGGTACCAGAGCCCCTAGGGCCCCATATAGTAGGTCCTGGAGGGTTGGAGTTAGGGTTATGACTGTAGTACGTGGACCCCAAGCAAATCGGACCCTGAAAAGGCCCTCTCCATAAACCATGCAATGGCAGGATACCCTTTTCTTGAGTGCCGAAGGTTGGGTTCTGTACTTTGTAGATCCTTTAACGTTTAACCTGCCAGACCACATAAGCATAAGGAATTCGTAGTTCAGGCTGTGTGGAATCTCTCTTGGAAGAGCCATATCCTCCAAACCGAGGATCCTCAGGCTTCTTTGCTGTCTTGGGCCGTTCGCTACCAAGTACCAGCAGACCCCATAGCGAACCCAAACCCTAGCCCATTTAGGGTTGAGGGCCGTTTAGGGCTAAGGGTTTAGCCTAAACAACGAACCAAAACAGCTCCAAATGCGCGCCAGGATTTGGTCAAGCCCAGCTGCGCACGACGAGTGCATAGAAGGCCGGCACTGTAAAGGGGTAGTTCTGGAAAACGACCTTGAAAGGCTGCGGAGTGTGATGTAGGGGTGTTTATAATAAGTACAACAGGTTGTATTACTGTGACAACAAGGGAAGAATCAGTGCAAGTAGTTATCATTTAATTAATTATTCTTCTACATTGTAGGAGCTCGGGTGTTGTAGGGTTCAGGGTTAGATAGAAGGGTTTACGATGCCTTTAGGTCCTTAAAGTTGGGGTTTTGAGGTTTCGGGTCTAGGTTTCCTTTGAGTTTTAGAATTGAAAGTAAAGGGCTGTATAAGCTCGTGGAGGCCAACCCGCTCCCGCCTCTGACACGGCAAGCGTTCTCGTGAATCATGAACCATGTTCGTCAATTCAAGGGCTCCTCTGTAATAGCAAAATCCGTGAGAGGCACCACTGCACTCGCTTTGCCGAGCCTTTGCAGCCACTGCTACAAAAGTCTCCGCCGATCACACCGAGGCGGGGAGGCGGCTGAATCCCCAAATCCTAATAACTTTAAACTTCCTGAGTCATCCAGACGCAGGGCCGCAGAAGCCAGGGACGAGGCTGGGATCTGCTGCACTTGTCTGAGCTAGAACAAGCCCTTAACCCGGTCTTAACCCCAAACCCATACAATCTCTAAAAGTGATACGCCATAACTCTCGAATCCCACTGCCACCCAGCCATCTGCAATTCACGGCTTGATCTTGAGGGTTTGTAAGGTTTTGTGGTCCCAGCCTTCCGTTGCAAACCCCTCATGCCCAATGCAAAACAAAGCCCTAGAACCCCAACACCACAATCTAAAACTAAAATCCTGAAGGTCTGCGACAAAGAGAAGTGGTTCCTAGGTTCCGAAAGCCAGCCTTTGGTTTGGCTCTAAATCGGAAGCCCCGAGGCCACTGAAGTAACCCAAGCTCACCTCGTTAAGAGCGTAAGCATAGGGCTTGTTTAAGGCTTCTTTAGGGCTTAGGGCTTGGGATGTTCGAGGTTTGTGGCTAAATTACCTTAAGCTGTTGGGGCTTCATGCAGAAATCGAAAACTGGACCCGCACGTTCTCCACATGTGAACCTCGCGTGCTAAACCCCAAACCGAAGCATGCAAGACCCTTGACAAGTTGAGCCCTTACCTTAAGCCCGAAACTACCAAGCCAAAGCCCTAAGCCCTTCAGTCCTGAGCAAAATCTTAATCCACAGCTGGGATATGCAGGCCTTGAGCCCCGAACCGAAACCTGTAAAATCCGAACCCAAAGACGCCTCCGTGAGGCCATCCACGATGGTTTTGAAGCTAATGGCCTGAGTTCGGCCCAATAGGTGCCCTTCTCGTTCGTAGGGACCAGGGTGCCAAGTGGGACAAACAAACAGGCGGGCGCTCCATAAACCCTAAATACCCCTAAACCCCTAAACCCTAAACCCCGAAATATGTTCTTTTCTACATGCAAACCTTCGGCAGCTTACGTCCAGGGCTTCCAACAGTTCCACAGAGAGGAAGACCATATATAAGCCCTAAACTTTACGAATTAGGGTTTAGGGTTTTGGGGGTCTCGGGTTTAGGGTTTCGGGTGAAGGGACCACAGATGTGACTTACCAGCTCGTAGAGCATAGAACGGCAAGCTCAAAGCGGCAAAAAAATATCGAGCCATTTGGCGACGATTCTAGCAGTCAAATCCCAGAGGTGAATTCAGGTGCAGGTCTAGAACAACACCCACAATCTTGAGAAGGGACGCAATGAATATGCTTCACACGGGGCCGTCGGAACCCTAAACCCTAAGCACAACAGTTGGTGTTGGGCTGCCACTGAAATTCTTGCTAGCGTTAACACCGTAACCCTCCAGGTACCCACTATAGTAACTATAGAGGGTGCTAGAGCCCCAGGGGCCCTATATAGTAGGTCCCTGGAGGGTTTGGGACAAGCTTATGGAAACTGGAAACAAAATTCCGTCTGGTGAAAGTTAGGGCTGAGATTCAGGGCATGGCATCAAGGAGACCGAAGACCAGACCCTACGTGCAAACCTTGGCCATACCGGCGAATATAGGGGCCTTTAAAATTATAGCTTAGGGTTGTTGGGGGCCCATTATCCTATAATTGTAAGAGGGAGCCCCTGAACATAATATAGGTAATTCTGAAGGCCCTTATACTACTCAAGCTCCACACCGAAGCCCTGCTGACGGCCGCCCTTTACGCTCTGGACCTTGGCGCGTTATACCCGACCCAACCCTAAATCCCTCAACCCTCGCAGAGCCAAAACCTGAAACACAGAGCCCTCATGGAAAAAAAAACCTCAGACCTTGTGCCGTTTTGAACCTTCAGCCGTGCACCCCTCAAGCCCTAAGCCCTAAACCCTAAACCCTAAACCCTAAGCCCTGAAGGGCCTAAGCCTGGCCGGCCTTCAATTTCTTAAACTCTCGGCTCCAATAAGCCTCTGAAACCCTCCTTGAACCCCAAAAGCCTCAACCTGGAAGCCATGGAACAACTTGCTGAAAGGGTTTAGGGCTTAGGGTTGAAGGGTTTAGGGTTAAGGGTTTAGGGTAGGGTTTAGGGATTAGGGCTTAGGGTTTAGGGGTAACCCTTGCAAACTATGTAAGACACTGCCTCAAAACCGTGAGATCCTAAGCTCTAATTCCTAAATCTGCCTGAACCTCCGCTCCCTTGCAGCCAAAGGACGGCCGCACGGGCAGGGGCCAAGCGAGGCTCGAAAAAGGCCTCTTGAAGAGCGGCTTCTTGGACATACTATAGCGGCCTTTCTTTATACTTAGAATAGGTATTTGGGGCATCACTATACTATAATTATAATTATGAGGAACCCTCGAAAATAGTATTGGTACTTATCTAAACTCCTACAGTATGGTCCTTTCCAGACTTGTGGCTTAAGGTTTAGGGGACTGATGCTATGTATACGGGGGAATTAGAGTGTTTAAGTTTTGGTGACAGTCTTGGTCGCTTGCTGCTACTTATTCGGTATGGCATGCACCGTGAAGGCTCCAAAGACGCTGAACTAGCTTATGCCCAGCAATCCAAAAATGGGAACCCTTGACACTAAACCCTAAATCGGGAATATCCCGCGACCTTCAGCTTCGAATGGACAAGCTGTGTCCTTTGAACCCTGCAACCCGCGTCGTTGATTCAAAGCTCAGAAACCGAAGATCGTTGAATGCCCTGGTAATCCTACAAACTCTTGCAGCACCAGAAGCAAGCCCAAATTCCACAAGAAAGTTGATCCTCAAGCACCTGCCGTTAAACCTTGAACCCGGATTCTACTGCTTACAACCCTTTTGTCCTGATTGCCGGACGCTTCATCCGAACGGCCTGAAATAGAAACGCCGTCAACCAAACCCTTCAGCAAACGCCAAACCAAGAAGCAACCCAAAAAGCAACTGTGATTGAACCATGTGTATGCTTCGGGGGAATTACACATGGCCTCGCATGCGTTAATGGCGTTCCCTTGGGAAAGAAGGCAGCCATCTTGAATGCTTCAACCATGCTACTAAGTGAAAGCCAAAACCTCAAGCCGACGGAAACGAAAACCTAGAAACTCCAGAAGGGGTAGCTCTCCAGATTCGGGTCACTCTTTAGGGTTCCTTGAAGGGATCTATAAGGGTCTCTATAGGGTTTCTATAAGGGTACTATAAGGGTGGTTCTCTGCAGGTCCCCAAAAGAATTCGTATGGCACGTTTATAAAAAAGGACCCTAAAAGGGACACTAATTTTCGAAAACTACCCAGATGCACAACGGCGCCAACTTTGGGATCCTAGGTGGATCTTAGCACGTGAACCAAGGCAAGACAACCCAAACCCTAAGGGTCCAAGTGCTCGTTATTTAGGGAGTTTGGGGGCCGCTTTGGGTACCTAAAACCATAAGTCAAGACTACTTGGACGCTTGGGGAAAGCACTCAACCCCCAAAAGCCTGTGAGCAAGTTCAATCAACCCTCATCCCCTAATTCCAAACCCTGAATCCTAAACCCCTGAACCCCTAAACCCCTAAGCCCTACATCCTAAACCCGGAATGAGCCTCAAACACGGAATCCGAAAACCAACACCCTCCGTATCCTAAACCTCATTCAATTCAAACCATGAATGCCATAAATTCCTAAACCCTAAACCTTCAACCCCTCAACACTAAATCCCTAAACCCTACATAAACACCCTAAACCCTAAACCCCTCAACCCTGAATCCCTAAACCCTACACAAACACCCTAAACCCTAAACCCCTCAACCCTAAATCCCTAAACCCTACCCTACATAAACCCCTAAACCCTAGACCCCTCAACCCCTCAACCCCTCAACCCTAAACCCCTAAACCCTACATAAATCCCTAAACCCAAAACCCCTCAACCCCTCAACCCCTCAACCCTAAACCCCTAAACCCTACATAAATCCCTAAACCCTAAACCCCTCAACCCTAAACCCCATTAACTAACGCTCTACCCGAAAGCCCCCACCCGCTTCCCGAACCTCAAGCTTTGGAGCAATCGGCCGCACGTCGATGTCTCGGGAAAGGAAACCCAGCTCCTGAAATCTGTAGGGGCTACGAGCTAAGGGTTGGGGGTTGAGGATTTAGGATTTAGGTTAAGAGCCAAGAGTTTAGGGTTGGGGGGTTGAGGGTTTAGGATTTAGGTTAAGAGTCAAGAGTTAAGGGTTGAGGGTTTAGGTTATATAAAAGTTATAAGAGTTAAGGGCTGATGGTTTAATTTTTAGGATTTGGGTGAAGAGTTAAGGACTGAGGGTCTAGGATTGATTGTTCTGTAAGGGCCTTATCTTTTCGAAGGCTTCTTCGTGGGTGCTGGTCTCGCGGTCTTGGTTCAGGGATGCTGGGCATGCGGGCTATTGAGCTTGGGATTTGGGTAGCTCTCTCAATTCGGGTCCCTTGTTCAGTCCCCAATATAGTACAAAACTCTTATAACAAGGATACTAGAAGGGACCCTGGTTTAGAGAACTACCCATTTCAGAGTTTGCGCTCGAGGTTCAGGGCCTCAGTGGGGCTTGGCCTTGAACTTTGGTGGAGAGGGTCCGATCCGAGGATTGGGGCTGCGGGCTTTCAAGCCAGGCTGCATGGTAGTCGGCCGCCAT